TGTATGGATCCACAAATAGACACACCCTCATACAGTGTTGAGAGAGGTAAACAAGTCGATGAGAATATTGAAGAAGAGGTGATGAGAGAAGCCAATTGGGTGGATAGTTGGAGAATATAAACAACAGAAACAGAGACTATACCTTTAGGAATCTAAACGCTCATAAAACATACTCCAGATTGAGATTATATTACTTGATAGACCCTCGCATCATCTGAAGACTTGTCTAGTGTTTTTAAGATAGCCCAAGTCATGACCCTTTCAGATCATGCCCCCGTTGCATTTAAAATTAAGATGGGGAGGGAGGTCGTCATGAGGACTGACAATGGAGGCTTGGGAGGCTGAACGGCACTATTGCTCATGGATCAAGATACACTGAACGGAAAATTAGGGAGGGAGATAGGGAGATTTTTTGAGGAAAATGGAAACGGGAGATGCTTATCAAAGGGCTATCAGTGGTGGGAGGCGCATAGTGTGGGAGGTATACATCATCAGAGGAATCCTAGTTGCGATTGGGGCAAAGAAAAAAAGGGAAAGGGAGAGAGAGGATTAGTGAGCTTTTTAAGGGAAATAGCTTGAAATGGAGTCTCCTACATAAAACGTAATATAACGAATGAGATAGAAGAAAAATGATAAAAAAGATGGAAGAATTAGAGAAAGTATTGGAGGAAGAAACCAACGAGAATCCTTTTTCATAAGGTCACGGGAGAGAGGTATAGTGGGGGAGACTAGACCGGGAAAGTATTTGATGAGAGTTCTGAGGAAGAAAAAGAATATGAAAATATTAGATAAGGTGAAAAATTTCAAGGGAGAATATGGTCCACTAAACTAAAGAAATTGCAAAAGTATATTTAAGGATTACTAATAGTAAATTATATAATATTGCCCCCAACGACCCTACAAATACGATCCAAAAGGTACATGAGGAGAAAAAGAAGAGAATATTTAAGAAAATGCAAGCATTACCAAATTAATGCGACAGAATTATTATAACTCCATAGAATCTGAAATCTCACAGGAAGAACTAAAACCGCATAAAAAGCTTTCCAGTCGGGGAAAGTGCTGCGGGGCCCAGATCTGGGTAGGAAACTGTCGAGGTACTATCAAAAAATAAATAGTTGACTTATCTTACTACCTAACCTTAACGAGATATATGGAATGCGTTGTGGAGGCAGAGATAGGAGCCAAAACATGAGACCAGGACAAATCCTACTACAGGCCCAGGTGGTTTTGATTCATAAGGAAGGTAAAGATAATCCCCAGTGCTCAAGTTATAGATTGATATCATTGCTGAACACAGTTTTACGAAGTGTATGCAAAGTTTTTTTATGCAAATGGTTGAGGGATTTTAATGCCAGATTGGATTTACATGGGGACCAGCAGGTGGGCTTCTTAGAGGAAGGGGGAGGTCGATGCAGATACTGGGCATGAGATCCCTGATGCTTATTCTCAGTTCATAAAAGTACAAGAACGGGAAAAAATCCACTACTATTGAGTATCAATAGACCGGAGAAGTGCATTTTGACAGGGTTAATTTGGAGTATGTTTCATGATTGATACGTTTGAGGCTTTGGGACTGGGTAACAGGTAGATGAGGAGATGGATTTGGAAGATTGTAGATGAAGGGCCTTCCGCGATGTTCATTTGGTAACTGAGAGAGACTGCTCTGAGTATTTTTTTAATGACACATGGAACAAGACAGGGTTGCCCACATATCCCCACTGTTGATCTGATTTGGTCATTGGAACACCCTTGCTATTAACAATCAGGAAAAATATAGATATAAAGGGAATTAACGTAGGAAGTTTAGAGCACAAGGTTGCCGTCATTCGCGGATGACCTATTAATTGAGGTTCTATATTGGTAAGCACCCAGGATAACGACTTCCTAACCTAATGAAAAACATTGAAAAGCATATGGAGAATTGGCAAACCTAAAAATTAATCCGAGTAAAACAGAGATATTAAATATAAATCTTCCAAAGAGTGAAAAAGAAATGATACAGAGAGAGTTCCCTACTTTATATGGAAAGATAGAGAAATAAAATATTATGGGAGTGAAACTTACTATCTTCACAGAAAAAATCTTTATAAAGCAAATTATATACCATTGTTAAACGAGATTAGGGAGGAATTGAAGAGAAATCGGAGGAGGAAATCCTTTCGTGGTTAGGCCGTATTAACTTAATTAAAATGGTAATTCTCCTAAGGTTTTGTATACATACACTCAAATGATGATCCCATTAAACTCCCAGGGACATACTTTAGAACAATTAAGCAAATGGGGTAACAAGATATATATGGAGGCAAAATAAAAAACCTAGAGTATCATTCATATGAAGTGCTGTGAGTAGAAACAAGGAAACATGTGGTGGGGTAGGAATGCCGGATCTCAAAAGATATTATCGAGCAGTGATCCCTATCAAGAATTTTTGATTGGAAACACAATATAAAAGAGTTAAAAACTGGGCTACAATAGAAAATACATTAGTGGGAAAGATTGAGTGGGATCGTTTGGGTGTCAACACAGTTTAGGAGAATTAGCTGAGAGCACAAGTCCATACACCTAGGATTGTTTTGAAAGAAGGGGATAGATTGCACAAACTTAAGGAATTGGGAATTTTAATTCACTGTTAATGCCACTAAGAAATTCAGAGTTTTTCCCCCCAGGTAAAGAGGAAATTACGGGGTAAATGGATTAAGAAAGAAGATTGCTCAGTTGAGAGACGTAATGGAGGGGGTAAACTTAAGAACACTGGAGGATTTGAAAAGGGAAGAGGGAGGGATTGTCACTATGATGAAGACATATGGAGGTATAATCAATTAAAACAATTCAGATGTGGGGGGGAAACTGACGAAGCCCCTTAGAATTAGAAAAGATTGGAAATTATTTGAAGAATTTTTTGAAATTCGAGGTGATGGGAAACACCAGCACTGCTAAAATATACAAAATTCTCACACTGATTTAGATAGTAAGGTAAAATTAAGATAATATAGAAAAATGGGAAAGGGATTTGGGGGTGGAGTGGGAGGAACATACACAAAGAAAAATATATATAGAATGGTACATGGAAATGTTAGCATGCGGGAGGTGGAATTGAACTATAAATGTTTAAGTAGGTGGTATATCACTCCGATGGTAGTGCACAAAATGAGTGGAGGAAACAACCTGGGTGTTGTTGGCGAGAATGTGGAGAGGAGGGCACAACGTATCACGTGTGGTGGGGGTGCCCAAAAATACAAGTTTATTGGAGAAAGGTTATAAATCAAATTAGGAATATCACTGAAAATGAGATTGGTTTGGACCCTGAAATATGCCTTTTTTCATATCACAGAAATATCAATGAAAAAATTTAAAGATATGGGTATAGAGTGTTACTTAAATGCAGCTAAAGGATTGATACCTAGGTTTTGGCGTAAAGCTGAGGCACCGAAGGTAGATGACTGGATAGACAGAGTGGATCAGATTGTTAGAATGGAGAAATTATACTATATACAGGAAGACAAGATGGAGGTTTATAATACAAAATGGAAGAAATGGGAGGAATTTAGAGCAAAGAAGAAAGAAGTCACTCCGTAAATAAGAATAAAAGATGGGAACCGGACAGATGTCAGGGTTTATTGAAGAGGGGTGGGAGGGAGGGGGGGTTGAGGGAAGGGGGTTAAGGGGAGAAAATGATATGCAATAAGTGTTTTTAGAAGAAAGTTGTTAGGTTGTACTTTATTGTTTCTTGTGTTGGAAATATTATATTGCTATATTTTGAAAACAAATATTTAAATAAAAAAAAAAAAAAATTCAAATATGACTTTTTACAGCTACTCTTTGATGTGCAAATAAAATCTAGTAATAGAATGTGTATGCATATTTTTTTCATGTTAAAATGTGTATACAGTTTTGGATCCCTCTGTGTGTATATCTCTATACACACAAACACTGTGTGTGTGTGGTGTATATATATATATATATATACACACACATACATACCTTCCTATTTGTTACTAAGTTCTGAGAATTTTGTGATAGCAGTAGTCATTTTGCATTTGTAATGATTATAAGATACAATTTAAACAAGCTGATAGAGAAATTCAGCAAGCAATATCAATGTTAAATGAGGGCTTCATATGTTTTGCAAGTCACTGCTGACATATATGTGTAGGTATGAATTGGCTTGCATTCCATTACTAAATAAGTTCTGTAGCTTTTTTAATTTCATCAAGTAGGTTTTTCACTGGTTTTTTTCAAGTCATTTAATGTTCCTAGCAGTTCGTCCGCAAGCTCCCGCATTTCTTCTGCTGTCTTTGTTTTTGGCTCCTCTATGCAGATCTACTGATCCCTTTACAAGAAAGGCAGCATCAACTGCTACAAACAATACAGAAAAGACTCCAGAAAACCGCCTGAATTGCTCGAGCTCCCTGTGCTGCTATCTGAGCCCCTCGAGCTGCAGCTGTTGGTATCCTCCCAAGCTGAGCCAATCTGCCGAACTCCACTGCAACAAATACTCCTTTTTTACCCCCCATTCTGACACCAATCAGGGTATTGTTTCGCAAAAGGTACACTAACTGTAGTTATGATATTTGTAGCAAATTCTTCAATATTTGAAGAAAGTTCTTCTAATAAATTTATATTTTTGTTAATGTTTTCTATCTTCTCATTTACCATATTACATTTCTTTTTAGTATTTGCAGCATCTGCTATGGAAGCAGAAACGCCAGTGACTCCTCCAGCTGTAGCTACAGAAATTCCAACAATGCTACAAATCAGAGATGCACCGAATGTCACTGGAGCTAGAGCAATGCCTACAATGGTGGTGATTCCACCGGCAATCCCAACAGCACTTCCCACAACATTGCCGATGGTGGCTCTCTTATGGAATGTGTCCACATCGTCCGCTATAGTGTACAGTTCATTAACACAATCTGAAAGATCTTTCTCCAAAGAGGTTGAGAGGCTTTTATACTCTTGATAATACTGTTTGGGGAAAAAAAAAAAACAATTAGAAGAAAGAAATGTTTAGCACAATTATGTTAGTTGTATAAGCAAGCTCGGATTTCTGCATGGCCAGCGCAGGCAATGGCATAGGTAGGCCAGGAAGCTAGGGCTACACAGTAACCACACACCATGCTACTGGCTGCCACATCTCTTGGTATAAAATAAATGTCCAGGTTCTAGGATACTATCGTCTAAATGTTTATGCAGTTTACCTAAGCTTTTTGCATTTAAATATATGTTTAATATTTTTTTTTTTTTTAATGAATATAAAACCGCATTAACATTACCTCAAATTCAACTTTAAAAGATACATGGCATGGGAGATAGTATGCCGCTGCTATGGTTATAATACTGTCTGAGTCACTGACCTGAAATAACTATGGAGAAAAGGAATTTTGACTTTTCCAGAATTTCATTGGTTTCTTTCCTGCATCAGGCCATTGATTCAGAAGTATTGAAACCCGGTAAAATAAGGGCATCTAGCATTTTTAAAAAAGGCCACCAATCAAATTTTTTTCATGATGGTATATTTAAATATATCTGCATGCTTTGCTTTTTTCTTTTCCAACTTTACTTTCTATCTGTTTAAAGTAGTAAAAAACGCTAGAGGACAGCTCAGTTCAGTTTCAAACATTATAGTCTAACTTACTACTTGGCATCTTAAAAACTTTTTCAAGACATGCCATTTAGGAGATCTGCTGTCCACGATGCCACTTGCACATGTGCATTGTAAAACACGGTTCATGACATAATGACTGTGCTGTCTATCTGTACATCAGTGTGTCATCTTTACGTCATTCTGTTTCCTTGGCACAACTGTGAAATTGGTACTATGCTTGCTGTGGATTTCTTTTCATACCGCCTTAAGAACAACACATACTGGTTTACCCAAAGCTAAGTAGATAAAACGTTCGTCCTCACTTACACGGTGGTATAGCTCTCATGGGAAGTTACTGGTTCCAAGTAGTGAAGTAGTGGCTGCAAAGAGATGATGATAATCCAAAAAAAAAAACCCATGACAATTGTTTATGATACAAAACACTTTAGTTGATTGAATGTCACTTGATTAAAGTGATTCTAAAGTTTTTTGGGGTTTTTTTAAAAGAAAAAAATAACAAACATGCCATACTTACCTGCTGTGTGCAGTAGTTCTACACAGAGCAGCCCGGATCCTCCTCTTCTTGGGTCCTCTGTAGGCTCTCCTGGCCCTTCCTTCCTATCAAGTACCCCAACAGCATGCAGCTTGCTACGGGGCTCCCGCTGCTCCATGTGTCCATTCACACACAGAGCCACAGCTTGGCCCCACCCCCTCTCTCTTCTCATTGGCTCACTGGCTGTGATTGCCAGCAGTGGGAGTCAATGGCTCCTGCTTCTGCCTCAGCCAATGAGAATAGGGAGTCTCGGGATAGCTGAGACTCCAGTGCACATCGCTGGATCAAGAGGGGGCTTAGGCGAGTATTAGGGGGGGCTGACGGGGATGCTGTACACAGAAGGTTTATCTTCATGCATAGAATGCATGAAGGTAAAAAACCTTGAGCCTTTAGAACCACTTTAAGGTTTACACCTACATGGGGTCATTCACTTGACACAATGCCATTCAGAGAACACCTTATATTTATCTCATTGAATGCAAAGCTTTCACTGATTGGACAAGGCGGTGACATCATGATCTGCACATTTTAGCCACATCCTCTCCAAGTTACTTTTTTTGAATTTTTTTGTTGTAACTATGATTTTCCCGATTGGATTTCCTGCCTTTATACAGGTGAACAACGTGGATATGGCCTATATTCTGGATGGGGTGAAGTATTATCAAAAGGCTTTGATCACATGGTTTTAACTTGGCATCAAGTGTGCTCTTACCACAACATTTGTTGGATTAAACCTTCATATATTTGGATGGAATACATTACATCCACCTCTTGTATCATGAGGCCTCTCCTAATTTATGATCTACATATTGTTTAATTATTGATATAGCAGGCCACTTTTGTTCCTCCAGTACTACTGCAACACGTTGATTGCTGTCTGTCATTATACAGCTTTATTACACATCTTTTTCTCCATGTGGAGGTTTATCTGCTGATCAGTTTGGGTTCATTGGGCCCAACATGAATTTGCAGCATAAGGAATGACACATGACTGTGATGACCACTATTAAAATATTAATTTATGTGTTTTTCTAATAATACTTTGGAGTGTGCCCCTATGGGTGTAACCTTTTTACATACATGCTGATATGATACGCATAACATGCAAATGGTTCATCCTGACTGGGCCTGCTCTGTAAGATCCAAAAAGTACAAGCATGCCAGCTAAAGAAATTCGACCACATGAGAGCCTGATTGATTTATTATTGAAGTCCAAGTTTCCTCTCCATGACCTCCATCTTTACTGAGGCTCTAGCATTTATTAGGCTATTTTTTCCTGGACATTCTGGGGTTTATTTACTAAAGCTAGTCCAGTCAGCATCTCCTGCAGCTCTGCATGGAAACCAATCAGCTTCCAGGTTTTATTGCTAAAGCTTAATTGAACAAGCTGAGGTTAGAAGCTGATTGGCTGCCATGCACAACTGCACCAGATTCTAAGTGAACCAGCTTTAGTAAATAAACCCCTCTGTGTCTGATTATTCCAATAGGATCACATTATCTCATTATATTGTTTCATTTTAATCCGACATCAGTATTCCTTATGATGCTATTTGGAGGGGAACACATGAGTAGTATTTATTGTGTTTTGTTTTTTTAATGTTTTACTCAAAATAACCTGTTATGGTAAATGATTCTATAGATTAAAGTACTGTGACCAGGGGCGGACTGACAACTCATGGGGCCCCCGGGCAATAGGGAATCACGGGGCCCCTGTGTCCTTGCCCAAACTCAAAAAAGCCTATGAAAAAGGTACCGGGGGCATCGCATGGGCCCCTTACTGACCCCGGGCCCTCAGGCAGTGCCCGAGTTTCCAAATGGTCAGTCCGCCCCTGACTGTGACATTCATTTGATGAATTTTTGGGGTTGATTTACTAAAGGAAAATAGGCTGTGCACTTTGCATATGCAGGTGCACTCTGCAAGGGAATTTGCTTCAAAGTTTAGTAAATGAGGGGAAGCTTTGCTGACTTCCATCATCCAATCATGTTCAAGTAAAAATGTGTTTTTTTTTTCCCTTATAAGTGATTGGTTGTTGTTTGCAAAGTGAGCCTGGGTTCACACTGATGTGGTCCGGAATTTGCAGCGTTTTCAGTGCGATCACCGCATCAGAATTGCGCTCCATTTATGCGAACTGCTGCGGGTGTGTATGTTAAGTTAACAACACCCCGAAATCAGTCCGCCAAACTCAGTGCGATGTGCAGAATCGGATCACATAGGGGTGAATACCCATGCGATCTGATTCTAGTGCGGACCAAAAAAAGGGTCCTGCACATTTTTGGTGCGGGTGCAGTGCGATTACAGCCATACAAAATGTATGGCTCCAATCGCACCGCATACAAATTGCATGTGATTTGCACAGGAATGCGGTGTGGTTCCTGTGCGAATCACATGCGATGTACCGCACCACATATATGTGAACCCGGGGTGAAACTTGACCTCCTTTACTAAGTTTTCAAGCAAATTCCCTTGCAGAGTGCAACTGCACTTGCAAAGTGCACAGTCTATTTGTCTTTAGTAAATCCATGCCTATGTTTACAATATTTGTTTGTGATATTTTGTTTATACATTTTGTTTAGAATTTTTGATTGTTGGATTTATAATTCTACTCATTGGGTCCCCCCAGGTGGTGTGCTAATTATAATTCTTTATAACCTGTAGGTTAGGGTTTTGAGGTGCAATTATGTGAATAAAGAATAATATCTTTTCAAAATATTTTCTCATATTTTTGGTATTTTTTAAATTTTGTTATGGGTGTTTATGAGTTTTCTGTGGGACACCTTATACATCCCTCCCAAGCTCTAAAAGTAGTCAAGTAACATGTTAAAAGGATCAGACAGCCCCATGTGCTGGCTGTAAATATGAAATATTAATTCATTCAATATTCAAGCAATATTTCGTAGTTACCTGAATACAAATGAAAAAATATTTTGAATAATGTAAATGTAATAAACTGCGAGCAATCCCAAAAATCTGGAAAAATTAAACTGAATTGAAAAGCTCACACCTACACATACTCATAAAATATGTGCTAAATACAGAACCCATACAATGATCGTGCCCCGCTTCTCTTAATGTTAACCAATATAAATAGCAAAAAAAACCCAATGTGATAAAAATATAAAATGAATATAAATATAATAATAAATAATGTGCACAAAGAACTAATGAATAATAAAGCCCATCTCCAAATTGTGATTCTTTCAATAAATAATGATGACTTCTGCCATTCAAATCTCCCTTTTGACATATGCAATGTGTCTTCACCAGCACCGACACCACTTGTGCTCTCACCTGAAATTTTTGACCACACAATTAAGTTTGGTCAAAAATGGCTTGCGTCCATTAAATGGACATATAAATAAATAAATAAAATAATCCATAAAACCATAGCTGACACTCTCAGGCTCTAATGGATCTTACCGTACTCCTCTCTGTGAGCTCTCTGGGATAGGTCAGCTGACAGCGAGTGTCGAAACATCACCAAGCCCCTCCCCATGGGTTGCAGCCAGGATGTCACGACTCTTGCCGTCAGCTGATCTGTCCTGGAGAGAGCTCACTGAGAGGAGTCCGGTGAGTTCCATTAGAGCCTGAGAGTGTCAGCTACATTTTTACAGATTGTTTTATTCATTTGTGCAATATTTGGTGCAATGGAGAACCTGTATTATGTGAATGGTCATTGTATATTTTAATAAAATGTCAGTTTTTAAAACGATAAGTACTATTGGTTTGCCTATATTTCTTCTATATGTGTGCTGAGCAGAAGAGAAGGAAGGAGTTGAATCAACAGTGAAGGAGAGTCTTGATAGATGTCTTACTACCATTATATGTCCATTTAATGGATGGAAAATGTATATAAATATAATAATAAATAATGTGCACAAAGAACTAATGAATAATAAAGTCCATCTCCATATTGTGATTCTTTCAATATATAATGATGACTTGTACCATTCAAATCTTCCTTTTGACATATGCAATGTGCCTTCACCA